TGTCTTCCATTTTTTTCAGATTAATACAAAGCAATGGTAAAGAAACAATATTGTGTATGTGTGCGCATGTTCAAATGACCTGGGAAAAATTTCCGGATTTGTTTTTCTGATAGAAGAACTTACCCACAGATGCCTGAACAGACATTCAAATCTTGAGCCCCTGAAGAGCAGAGAGCTTGCAGTACTGATGTTGTGCAGCCGGCGAGCCTCTGTGTACACATCTCACTGTACTCTCCAAGCTCTCTCAGTCTGCCCAGAGACAGATGGCAGCAATGCACAGGGCAGCCCCAATTACCTGACCTGGACTGCTCAGAGTCAGCTTGTGTTACTTTGCAGCATAATGTGGGTTTCTGAAGGAGGAGGGCTCTGATCCCTGCTTGGCTAGGATAGAAGAGTCCAGCTTGAATGACACACAGTCTCTGGATTGTGGGGGGAGAGGAAGGATGGGAAACAAAGCACCCTGGGATGCTGAATGACTCTGCTGTGGCTTCTTTCAGAAGAGAACATATATAGATATTGGCTTTCCAAGGAGAAACTCTCCTGGGAGTAATTTAACTCTGATTTTTCCCAGGTTAGTTTTCTCCTTGACCAGCCATTTTTGCTCTGGGAAAAAAATAATTCTGAACATCTGTACATTCAAGGTTTCTCCTCAGAAAGTAGCAAATCTTTCAGGGGAAACTGAATGTCTGTACATCGTCTAAGAAGGGTAGTGGCAAGGAGGGCATTTCCTTGTTAATTTGGTTGAGTTATTTATTGTTAATACTTAAGAATTGCAGCTTGGTCTTCTGTATTAATCTGAGTTGGCTAAACAAAATAAAATGGCAAGAAAGCTATTTACTGATTGCAAATTGTTGAAGTCCAGATACTAGTTTATCATAATTACTGTGTATCAAATGCATTAATCTGATGGGGGGGGAGGGGGAAAGCTAAATACTTAGTTACCATTTGCTTAATGGAAAAAGGCCACTAGTAAATGAGTTTTTTGTTGCTCAGCAACTACATGTTTAGTGCAGGGAATATTTTTTCTGGAATAGTATTAACAAATAACATAGATGTTTGTGGTAACAAGTATTGTAAATCTGTCATTTGTGCAAAAATGATTTCTGGAAGTAAATACTGTCAAAACTGGGTGAGATTTTATCTATTCTGAAGAAGCCTTTTTATCAACTAAGAAGGGAATCATCTGTAGTTCAATACAGAAAAACCTGAGGTAGTAAAGTATCCTGAGCAAAAAGGTTAGCAGTAATCTAAACTTCACAAGACTCCAGGTGACAAAACTCTAATAAGCTTTAGGTATCATCCTGAGAAATTACTTTAAAAAGTTGTGCTTTTAAAAGTATCCAGTTCCTGTGGGGGTGGAGGTGGGGGTACTTATAAGCAACTGCTACAAGTTTGGCCACCTTCAGGAAAAGAAGATCTCTTTTGTACACGCATAATAAAATGTAACTTTTCAATTTTCTTTCTTTTGCAGATTTGGATTGCTCCTAGGCATGTACCCCTGACTGACTGATGTTGTTCTTCTTTGCTTTGGATGTTCTCAGTTTCTTCACCATTTCAATATGAATTTCTGGGTCTGCCTGAAGTTGTGTTGTGTTTTGCTGAAGTTGAGATGTTAAAGCATGTGATTTAGCCATATGACATCTCCTTACTCTTTCGCCCCAACTGTATCAATTCTGGGGATGGAGCCTGACAAAGTATGTGCAAAATAAAATTGCTTCTCCACATTTTGTCCTTGGATTTGTTCTCTTTATATGAAATAACAGCAAACAGCAGACTAACTAATATTAGAGAGGAAGCTAGAAGGGAGCATTTACTTATGGGGATTAAAATGATACAGTGCAGTGTTTGCAATCTGTACGTTAAAGAACCACATGCCTCATTATAGTAATCCCCTTAATTTAAAGATACACATGTACGTTTTTCCCCTGTATTGTTCTAATACAGGAGGCATGGTGCTGACTTGTAATAAATTCTGCATTGATGTCCTACTGGAAAGGCCAAACTTCCTGGCAATTTTATGGCCACCAGCAACTACAACTACAGATTGGCTTCATTGTAATAAATGCCCTTGTAATGACCACAGCTGTGTGTCAAACTTTATTAAAATTGCCAACATTATGTTATACCTATGATAGTATTGAAATATTTCCATATTCCCCCATGATTTAATCGGAATGGGTGAAGATACAAATTTTACAGTATTTTTCCAAATAAATGTGTTGTGAATAGGGTTTTTTTCCCCACCTTCATCCAGGTCTAAAATTGCTGACTACCCTATTGTTAATAATCTGGAGGAGACCTTCCTGGAAAGCCTCTACTGACAGTCAGAACATTACAAATTTGTATTGAGGTTTCTTCTCTTTTACCCTGCAGTTCAGGTTACAAGGAAAGTAGCTGATCTGAGACAAAGCAGAAAACAGGCTGGGAGTAAGAGAAAGCTTCAGAAAAGGTAAATGTGCATCATTTGACTCTGACAACAGATCCCAGAAGGTTTTGGGGTGTTGTTAATACAGCTAGAGGCTGCATGACTTTCCTTTGGCTTCCTGTGGCTGGGAACCCTCCCATAAGGGATTCTTGGGCTTCAGTAATTGGAAGTGCATAGTTTCAGCTGCTAGACTGCTGAGGAATAGGTAAGGAAAAATAATGAGCCCTAGGGCACAAACAGAATCCTAGAAGATTAGGGTTGAAAGGGACCACAGGAGGTCACCTAGTTCAACCCTTACTCACAACAGGACCATCTCCAACTATATCATCCCAGCCAGGGCTGTGTCTACCTAGGCCTTAAAAACCTTTAAGGATGGGATTCCACAACCTCCCTGGGTAACCTTCTACTGCAAAAATTTCCTAATACCTAACCTAAACTTCCCTTGCTACAACTTGAGACCATTGTTCCTTGTTCTGTCACCTGCCACCACTGAGAACAGTCCAGCTCCGTGGCCTTTGGACCCCCCTTCAGGTACTTAAAGGCTGCTATTGAGTCCCCCATCTTCTCTTCTCCAGACTAAATAAGCCCAATTCACTCAGCCTCTCCTTAGATCTCATGTCCCCAAGCTCCCCTAACCATTTTCATCGCCCTCCACTGGACTCTCTCCAATTTGTCCATATCCTTTCTGTAGTGGAGGGCCCAAAACTGGATGCTGATCTTACTCATAGGAACTGCTTGGGCCTTGGGACCAACAGAGGACAGAAACCTTTTCTCTTGCCATGTGGAGAGACAGACCCTCCTCCCAAATCAGAGAAAAGCTACAGAGATAATGTGTGATGATCTTTTGGAACTACTCTTCCTCTGGGAATTCCTGGAGGTTCAAACCAGGTCAGGGTAGACATGAGGAGCATTTTTTTTTTCTTAGGTAAATTATAGCATTATTATGAGATCAAACAACATAGTGACATATTGGGGTCAATGGTATTTTGGAGGCAAACTTATACTGGTACAAGACTGAAGTAACACAAATCATTTTTAATGGATTTAATTTATATTCTAACCCATGTAACAGAAGAATCTCACCCTTAAAATAATTACTAAGGAATCTGTAGTCATATGTAATTATTGAACATTTCTCCCGTGTGTTTTTCAGTCATTCCATGTTTCTCAGGCTTATTAGACAAGAAAAACTGAAGTGCACTCTCTCTCTTCTCCTGCACAGTTAAACATTTAAAAGCTGCTTTCTATTTCCATCAAGTACTGATCCTTCTCAGTGTTATCCCTACCCACTCCCCTTGCAAAAGGAAATCCAGAGCATGTTATAGCCAGGGATTGTACAAAGTCATTGCACAGAATATTGCAAAGGCTTTCTGCTCTGTTCTGTTTCTTTAAATCCTGTCGTTCCTCAAGACATCCAAGATTAGATTTTTTTTTACCTCTTTCTATTTTGTGGTGGCTGCCAGCTTGGTCTCCTTAGTGGTGCAATACATTTAATTTAGTTAAGCAAATTTAGTTTAGAGAAGTGATTTTGCTATTCCTGTCAGTGCACTGAGCCTCATATTACTTCACTGACTGCAGAAACGGTCCTGAAAATTTAATCTGGATGTATGGACTGTAGACAAATTTAGAGCACTGGCAGATCCTAATTTTAATGCTGAACATGAGCTATCAATCATTTCTGGGAGCACTTGCCAACAAGGTGAAATGGACAGATGTCTTATTTTGGTAACTCTTTCTTTCCTTTTGAATACAAGCATTGCTTCTATCCAGGAGACACATTTCTTTTCCAAAAGGTGTCAACTCTAATTACAGAGACTTATATGAGAAAATGACTGGCCTTCACTATATTCTCTTTAGTATGGCCAGTTCATGTGTCCCATCTCCACTAGATAGAAATAATAAAATATTCTTGGTTGGAATCTGTAACTGCAGTGACTTAAAGCTCAGAATTTCTGTTTTGTGGGAAACTCCAACATTTTGACATTTATTTTCATTTTGAGTTGGAGGGAATGAGAACTTATCCAAGAACTTTTTCATAACACCACAAATAAAAGAAACCTTGACCTGCAAAACAAGATATATTTCAGTCAGTACTATCAGCCCTTAACGATTTTAAAACACCAATTAAAATATAAATAGAGAATTTGACTTTTCTTTCTTGTCTTGTACCTTTGGAACAAAGTATTTAGCAGAACTCAGATTCATTTGAACCTGAAAGAGTCAAGCCAAAACCACTTGGCCTCAGACTTGCAACCTCTGGACTGCCAAAAGTACACCACAGCACCCACACCACCTCTGCCCCGAATAATTTGACTGTTATATTATTGTGACATTCAGTCTTAGTACAATAGTCCATACTATTACTTCTACTGATAGGTCCGGAAATAATGTAAAAATAATAAATAAGGGAACGAGAAAGGAAACAAAATTTAAGACAAATATTACAAACTTAATTTTCAAAATGCTCTGAAATGGAAGCTTTCCAGAGAGGGAAACAATGAACATCTTCAAAAATTTTCCTTGAGGAAGTTCTCTTTGAAATTGATGCAGTTTCATGAAGATCTTAAGTTTACTTGAAACAGCTTTTTTCGGACGAAAAACAGTTGAAAGTTTTTTAACCAGCATTTCTTGTGATTAAGTGTAGCCATTTCGTGCTGACTGATCTTATTGCAGGCTTGTGACTGAATGGAGGTCGTCTGATCCAGATACACATTCTAGTAGATGAAAAAGGCATCTTCTCAGGCCCATAAATCTTGTAATCTTAATACCAATTTTGTTCTTACATTCTTAGAAAATTATATCAATGTTCACTTCCATATTTGACAGTGAAACTGCTGCCATCCCTTGAATGTCAGTAGGGAAAATGGCCTTGAAAATTAAACACAATGCAAGGATTTGGGGGGGTGGGGTGGGGTGATATATTTTATTGGACCAACTGCATGGTTGGGATAAAGTTAGATAAGCTTTTGAATGCAAGGTGTTCATCAGGCCTGAGGAGGGAAGCAAGCACAATGATTGTTAAGAACAGTGGGTAGAGCTATGAAAATGGAAAGGGGAGACATTCCCAGCGAATGAAAAGAAAAGAAGCTTGATTACTAGATCAAGACCTATCAAAAAGGAGGGTCATTATCACCTGTAATGTGTACAAAAAATTTCAGGAATCAGATTACAGTGTGTCATATAATCAATATTGATGTTCAGTCCTTGGTTTCTAGATTCCAAGCACTTTATACATTTTTGTTCCCAAACTCACCTTTTAAAGGTGTTTGGTAGACTTCCCTTGAGAATGAGGATAGTTAAGGGCAGAAAGGGAGTAGCTGTTCTGTGAAACATATGCTCCTGCTGACATGTGTATGCATCTGATAACACCAGCAGAGTCTTCCTTTGCATGAAGAAGGGGCTGTGCTTGAAAGCTTGCAAAAAACATTTTTCAGACGATGTAGTTGGTGTAATAAAAGATATTACATCTATCCTAAGAACTTTGTCTGTCTATGGCTAAAACCAACAATTCTGTCCTTTATAGTTTTTCTAAGAGAGTTCAGTTTTGTGTGTAGTTGCTGTTTAGTTCAACCAACATAGTTGCCTTGAGGGCATTTGGTGCACTGGATCAGATAAATCACATTTTAGGAAAGGCATATGTAGGATCCATGGATTCTGGTGGGTACATTGTGGAGGTGTTGATTGTGGAGATGTGTTGACAAGCTAAGCATCTTTTGCAATGACAAGGCTGTCCCCCGTTTGATGTCTGTTGAGCTGTGGGAAGTTATACTATTGTCTTCCCTAATGTCTTGTAACAATGAGTTCCATATGTACATCCTTCTGTTTGTTTGAACCTGCTGCTTGCTAATTTCATCAGGTGCTCCCTAATTCTTATTTCATGAAATACAATAAAGACTGGTAATAGTTACCTATTCATTTTATCACTCTGTTCATAATTTCATAGATTCTCTCTCATACCCCTTCCCCAGTTATTTCTTTTCCAAGCTTAAGAATCCTAAAATGGAAAATCTGTTGTCCAGTACATGCCTAAATGACACTTACCTAGCTCTATACATGTTGTTTTTGTCACCTGCATACAGGTTGTTGTTCTGTTTCTCTCTATCACCCATACAGAGTGCATGTGTACTGAGAGTCCATATGCCTGCTGACATCCTGCTATCTCCTTATCTTGTAAAAAATGTTCTTTGCAAGCTTTTGGGCACAACTATTTAGTTGGTCCAATAAAATATATCACATCTACCCAAAGAACCTTGCTTGCCTATGGCCTTAGACCAACACGGCTATAACCAACACCCTATGACTTAGACTTATCACTGGTCTTTGGCTGTGGTAAAAAATAAGTTACCATCCAAAAGCAGATCTTTCAAAATATGAAGAATGTTGGGTTGTTCTGCACCTGAATCATCATACAGGCAGCAGTACCATGAGGACTTGGCTACGTGGGGAAGCTACTCTGGAATAAGGCAGGCTGTGAATTTAAACTGCTGTAACTGTTCAAGCATAGCAACTCTATTGTGAAATAGGAATCTCTATTCAGGCAGCTACTGATGAATTTAAGGAGAGAGAAAATAAAATCAAATATATTGATTAAATTGCTCGCACACAAAAATATCTGGCAATCTTTTTCTGACCTATTGCTTAACTACATAATCACCCGTAAAATGCCCAGGGCCCCAAGATGTGGTCCAGTATATTTATTTCTACCATATATGCATCTATGCTGTTGCTATTATATTTTTTCATGCTTATTTACAACTACCCATATGTGCTTGCCGGTGTTGGGCAATTATATGGTGTTCATGCTCCAGAAGTATAGCACTCCATCGCCATGGGCCAGGATTTTATCCCCAGTAAATTCTCTCTAGTATGTTTTATGTTCTATTTTAAACATGAATCGATTCAAATGAAATTTAAACATAATGGCAATTTAAAAAAAGAAAACCTGATTTTGTTAGGGTTTTGTTACGATGACTGGGATTGGGTATCTGTTACACAACCTAAAAGTCACAAGTAAGAATGGAGGACTGCAAATGTAACAAAAAGGCTTAGAGATGCAAGCTGAAAATTAAAACTGCAGTTCTTGACAATCTTTTGAACAGTAGGCCTTTTTTAGAACAATTTGTGAGGGAAAGGACAGGAGGTCAAGCAACAAAGCACAGGTTTCTGTTACAGGGGTGGCAACTGAAAAGTAAAGGTACCACACTGCAATGCAAATTCTAGACAAATTTGCAGACACTGCAAATCCTTCACTGTGGGCTCCACAGGGAAGTTGTACTTTTCAGCTCTTTTTACTGCATTTGTGAAAGAAGGAGCAAATGGATACTAGTACATTTCAGTACTTAAGACTATATCATTTTTAATGTTTTCTGTATTTTATGCTCCTGATTCAGCAGG